AATAAGAGTCCTCGTATTTTGATAGCACAACAAGGCGGATATCATAAATCAAGGGAGGTGTGGCGACAACCACATAAAACTCTGAATATTGTAACGTCTAAGCGTCGTAAAACCGCGTAAAGTTTTCCAGATTTCCCTCGACGCCCGCTCTGCGGCCATTATCATTAACCGAACTTCTAGGTTTATTTAATTCAAGACCGTAAACTTGGCAACTCGAGGGAAAACCTAGGCCATGGCTTTACATATTTAATCCCCCAGGGACACAATGTGACAAAACGCAAGCAGCCCGCAGACGCGTTGCTGTTGCTGTGCCGCTGACAAAGCGCAAAAGTTTACATTTAATTTAAACAAGTATGTGAGCGCACGCGGTCCGCTAAATAACAACAATCTAGTTTTAATTGGTGCTATTTGTCTGCGGAGCGGATGCTGCAGATTGCGTCGCCAATGGACCGTTTTCGGAGGGCTTTAACATATTAATGAGAGCGACCGCGCCGGGGAGCGGCGGGCGCGGGGGCGGGGGCGGGGGGCGCGGAGGGGGAGCAGGTTTAATTCTGCCCAATACTTTAACCGAATTTACGCGCTGGGATTTCGTGTATTTTTTCGCTTAATACGGATTTCACAGTGAGACCTTTGTAAATAGTCGTTTAAAATCTAAAGCTGCAGTTAAAATACACTTTTGCATACATTTTCAGTGTAAAGTTTAAATTGCCTCGTCGTTATTAACGACTATTGCAGGCGCAGGGATTATGTTGTCAGGGAAATGCACCAAATGTGTATTATGTTGTGTTGGAAACAAAATCCTAAAGAATTTGATGATGATGACTAAACTTTTTCTATAACTATCGTACATAAAGCTATGAGCGTAATCACATCATTATCAAAAAATGTAATTTTGATGTCACTTAACCATTTCGGAGGCGGGTCTTAGACGTTTCCACATTTCCCGCAGAAAAATTCTTTTTTACGATGATTGAAACCAGGTGTTATCTTGAATTATTTTTGCAGTTAATGTGCTATTTTCTACAATGAATAATAAATTGTGTCATTTTGTACTTAGTTTGCGGAGAGCATTGAGAGATGCAACGGCTGTGAGTAACTTTGACTTAAAGTAAAAATAAATATGTTTGCAGCGTTCATTTATTTTATTTTGAGATGAGATGCGTGTGACGCCACGGCTCTGTTTGAATGTTAAGAGGAGCAGGTCATTGCCGAGGTCGGCCCCATGCCCCACGCTTGCCGTGCGGGGTGCCGCCGGCGCGGTGGCCGTGCGCCCC